GTTTCTGATGATCTAATCTTCCTTTCAGCCATAATTACTGTGAAACCTCACCTCTTCACAGTTGTGAAAAATAAAGTTTAGTGAGTCCCTCTCTTTCCCATTCCTTTAGATGAGGAACATGAGGCATTGATGGGGTTTAATGATTAGGTTAATATTACAGAGAGGTCATTGAAAGAACTGGAAAGAGAAGCCAGGAATCCTGGTATCCTTTTCTCCTGTTCTAGATACAAATTAAGCTTTCATTGTGTTGGTAATTTCAGTATACTCACCTACTTGTGAATATACTTAGTATCAATTTTAATGTAATATTTCCCCTTTTTTCCTTCAAGATAATGAGGTTGGGGTGAATGATTTCTTTGATTAACAAATTATTTTTGTTTACTCTAAGGTTATAGTGAAGTAGATTGCTGATGGCAAAAATGTCATATAGTGACTTTTAATATAAGAAAGTAGGATTGATTGCCTTACTACTTTTCTGAGAGAAAATGAGTTCATTTCCTCCAAAGAAGCCTACATATGCTTTTAACAAGTTTTGATTTTTCAAGAAAAAGAATAGGATATTCTTTAATGAAATCTTCTTATTGACCTTTTATTGTTTTTATGCATTTTTTAAAAGATTTTATTTATTTACTTGACGGAGAGGGAGAGAACACAAGTAGACAGGCAGGCAGAGAGAGAGAGAGAGGAGGAAGCAGGCTCTCCACCAAGAAGAGAGCCCAATGCGGGGCTTGATCCCAGGACCCCAAGATTATGACCTGAGCCAAAGGCAGACGCTTAACCCACTGAGCCACCCAGGCTCTCCTGTTTTTATGCATTTTTAAAAGGTTTTTTTTTTTTAAAGATTTTATTTATTTGTCAGAGAGAGAGAGGGAGAGAGAATGAGCACAGGCAGACAGAATGGCAGGCAGAGACAAAGGGAGAAGCAGGCTCCCCGCCGAGCAAGGAGCCCGATGTGGGACTCGATCCCAGGACGCTGGGATCATGACCTGAGCCGAAGGCAGCTGCTTAACCAACTGAGCCACCCAGGCGTCCCTAAAAGTTATTTTTAGTTAAAATTACAAAACAACCTCTAGAGTCTCTATTAGTACATTTTAATGCATCTGAAATAAGATCAGTGTGACTCTGAGAAATTAACTTATATTCATCTTGTATGAGTTATTTGATCACCTGTCCCACTTTTATGAACTTCATGAGAGATCAGCATTTGGCAAGATTGGTGTTTTATTAAATAAATACACCTTTGGCACTCCCAAACCTTACTCATCAACAGATGGAGCTTAAAAAGGACTGATGTTAAACCTCTCAGGTAGATAATCAGCAAGTGAGCTGAAAGCCATGACTCCTGGGGGAAAAGTGTTCTGCCCTACACACACTGTCACCTCTCTCCTATTCCCCACTCCCCACTGAGGGATTTGGCAGATGGTTTAGGATTTTTATTAAGTATCCTGAAATGTATATCTTGTTTGAGATGAAACGAAATTCTGAATTTAGGGGTCACTGATGCTTTATGACAAAACAAACGAACTCTTGGAACTCTGTGGTCATAGAGCCACTAAGTCTTAGGAACGAAAGAAAGCATTTTTACACTGAATATTCATTTTTTAAAAAATCAACAAAATTGAAGCACCTGGGTGGCTCAGTTGGTTAAGCGGCTGCCTTCAGCTCAGGTCATGGTTCCAGAGTCCTGGGATCTAGCCCCCCATCGGACTCTCTGCAAGGCGGAAGGCCTGCTTCTCCTTCTGTCTCCGCCTGCTGCTCTGCTTACTTGTGCACTCTCACTCTCTCTCTCTGTGTCAAGTAAATAAATAAATAAATAAAATCTTTTAAAGAAAATCAACAAAACTTACACGTAATACGCCATCAAGATTGGATTCTTTAGAATAGTTTTATTCACTGTGTTGTTTTTCCTTTTTTTTTTTTTAAGATTTTATTTATTTATTTGACAGAGATCACAAGTAGGCAGAGAGGCAGGCAGAGAGAGAGGGGGAAGCAGGCTCCCCGGGCAGCAGAGAGCCGGATGCGGGGCTCGATCTTAGGACGCTGGGATCATGACCGGAGCCGAAGGCAGAAGCTTTAACCCACTGAGCCACCCAGGTGCCCCTTATTCACGGTTTTTAATTTGGTTTAACTTTCTCCGTTTTTATTATGAGGACCAAATGAGAGAAGAACCTGATTACCTCCCTTTACCTTCCTGGCTGTGCCTACTCCTCACCTGACTTTTCTAAGTTTGAAATAGCCTTTATTCTTATCTCAGTTTTCTTGTTCTTTCCCTTTTAGTGTCCATTTCAGTCTTCCTTTCCTAATCACCTTTTGGCTTGTAAAGTTGTGTCTTTTAAGGGAAACTGACATTATTCATGGGCATTAGGCTACAGCCTAGGTTCTGATGTTCCTTAGCCTATGTTTGCCCAGCCTGCTCAATTTGGACTATCATTTGGCAACACTTAAGTCTAAAATTCTTAAGGAACTGAGACCTAACAGACCATACTGAAAGTTTTATTTGTTCTTTTTATTTTTGGCTGTTTTTTTCCATTTATTGAATGGCTTCTTTGTGCAGTCAACCTTCGACATCACCCTGTGCAATCTTGCTCCTACCTCTCAGCTTGTACAAGTAGTAGGCATTTAGCCCCTGCAGATTTACGCTTTTATGTTATCTTTAAGACACCAGAATTCAAATTTAACATGTTGGCCTAGAAAATATTAACTGGCAGGACTTTTAAGTACCTTACATATTTGGATTGTTATCCATTTTTGATCTGGTACTTAACCAGATCTTTACCCTAAACCCTATGACTTCTAAACTTAAAAAATTTATGTTTAGGGCAGGGTTTCTTTATCATATCACCAGTTTGGGATGGATATTTTTGTCATAGAAGTCTGTCCTATGCATTGATGGATATTTATCATCATCCTTGGGCTCTACCTGCAAGATGCCAGTAGCACCCGTCCCTCATTGTGGCAGCCAGAATGTGTCCAGGACAGCCATATGTTCCCTTAGGTGGGGGCACAGCTGTCTCTGGTTAAGAACCATTGGCTCAGGGTTTTTCCCTGTTGTATTTTCACTTCTGCAGTGATCTCCTGGAACTGTAGAATGGTTCCAGAACCACAGATACCTGTTTATCTAGAGTGGCTGGAGAGTGATATGTTTAGGGTCCTGTCATTCATTCATTCATTCATTTATTCATTGTACATTTTTTAAATGTCTACCAGATCCATGCTAGGTATTGGCAGAAATGAATAAAACACAGTTCTGGTACCTATCTTAGTACATTGGTTATTCAGATTACCATGTCTTATTGGGGTCTGTGTTCTGTGCAGAGGAAGAAAAGGTGCAGTGCTATGCATGTAGCAGACTTAATATTGAACATGTGCTGATGAACAAATGGCCATGCATAACACAACATGCATGGAGTCTGTAATCACATACAACTGCATTCAAATCAGTTTGCAGTTTATTGCTTTATTGTTATATAACCTTGAGCAAATTACTTAATATTTCTGAGAGTTAAGTGATATAACATGTACAGTTTTCTGTGAAATCCCAAACTCCTATAAAAGTGTCAACAAATGGTATCTGTTGTTGTTATTGCTACTAGTATTTACCGTTGCTTACTATAGAAAGGATTCCTGGATGTCTGATCTTAAAGAATGACAGAGGAATGTGGAGAAAATTTTCAAAAAATTGAAATCATGTTTCTTGGCAAGGCAGGCATCTGTCCAAGTTGGGTAGCATTGAGAATGTTTCCATAGTAGGAGCCAGTGGTTGGGGGCTAGAAGCATAAGGGTCCATTGAGACTTGGAAAAGAGAACTAGTTGAGAGAATTATATGTCATTTGTAGAGAATTATATCATTTGTAGGAAAGGTTTATAAGCAGGCTTGGCCAGAGATCAGATTTGTAGATAGGAGTCAGCTTGGAATATAGTTTTGGTAAGTAGGATTTAAGACAAACTCATTTTGTCAGTTTAGAATTAAATCTGAAAGTTCTTAAGGGTCTAGGTGCAATCTCATCTGTTTCTCTTCATATTGCTTTTGTCCTTCTCTGATTTCTAGGTTATTGTCTGTATTTTCTATTTTTCACATTTAAACTTACACTACCTTGGATGATTATTCAGATCTTCATAGGACTCCTTGCTTTCAGAGCTAGATTAGAAGCTGGTTGAAGGCAGGAACAATGGATTTATAAAGATGTTTCTCATAGCCATGTACCTAATTAGTAGTATTCCATCTATTTGTGGAATGAAAGAATGCAGGTCAACACAGTTTTAAAGCAGTGCATGACCACCAGTATATCAAGTGATTCGTACCTCTTTAAAGCACTGGTGAAATCTAAAGGCAAAACTGACCTCTCCTTCATTTATCATATGATATTCTAATATCTATGTGATAGTAATTATAATTTTTTTCAGACTTGGCAAGAAAAAAAATCTTAGTTTTCTTTCATATTAACCTATAGCCTAGAATTCAGAAAATTAACCAATCAAGTGACATTACTAAAACATACTTTAACATACACATATCATTTATTTAATTTTAAAAATGATTTTTGAGATAAATAAGGCAGTGTCCTTCTTTTACTGATGGCTATCTTTATTTATAGCATCCAGTTTGAAGATTGTGTTGGCTTTGAAAATGCCTTCAATTTTACTTTGATATTGGTGACACTATTGAAAATGATATCCTTTCTGTGAAGTCGTATTCAGAGTTGACGATTCAAATTATTTATGTATATTATCTCACATTGATACTAAACTTTGATCATCTAATAGTTGGAAGCTGATAATTTTCATAGATAATTTATCATGTATATGCTTGTATAGAAGTGACAGTGTTTAGCATGGCCAAAGTGTAGTAACATATTTTAATATTTAAAATATCTTTTCTAAAGATTGTTGCAAAATTATACAATTTACAGAAACTTCAGAATACTTTTTGTATAATAAGCACTTTGCTTCATCTGGTATCTTTGTTATTTTTTTTGTTTTGATTTTGTTTATTAACACAGAAAAGCTTCACTGGCCTGAGCAAGAACTCGCTAAGAAGTCTGTTCTAAATGCAGAAGAGTCATTGATCATTGACAGCAAAAGAAGCATTTCACATTTATCTTCTGGGATACTAAAGGACATTTTCACAACTGGAACCAGTAGTTACAATGTCCTACTACAGAGCAAAGAGGAGAAAAAGCATCATTCACAAAAACAGTCTTCCTCTACGTACTCCAAAAGATGTAGAAAACCCAGCAAATCTCCTAGTTCTTCTCGTAGTAAAGATCTTCGCAAGATGAAAGCCCCGGTGTCTATGATGAGCAGTGGTACTTGGTATTGCCTAGAAAGGCAGCCTGGTGTCTTTGTCACTAGTTCAGTGTCGAGTCCTCTAAAGTTTACACATGATATCTCTGTTACAGGGAGCAGCATAGTACTGCCACCTAAACCCAAAAACAAAGTAAAGCGACGCCATTTCTCTGCTCTGCCAAAGCCAAAGCTGCAGCCTCAGTTGTCTAGAAGTTTTGAAAAAGGAGATGACTTTTCTGGGAAGAAATTTTGTATACTGACTGCTATAAAGCCCACCAACTTGGAGAAAGAGAAACTGAGATTCTTCAAATCTGATTATACCTACAATCCTCAGTTTGAATATGCAAACCCATCTCTGCCAAGTGTGTTAGCCAAACACAGCAATGCATCAGACCGATTTCTTAAACAGGTAAAACTCTACTTCGGTAGTGGCGTTTCATTTCTATGTAACTAAAGCAATTATCTGCAATCTTAGAAAAAATATGACTTTAAAAAATAGTTCAGGTATTTGTATGCAATAGTTAACTCCCCTCCAGGACATGTGAATATGTGACAGGAAATCTCCAGGTGAGTGCCATAGCCTGTATGTGAACTACTTTGCACTAGTCTGAATCTATGAAGAGTCTGTTAGATAGACTTTGTGACAGGAAGCAACTATATTTGGGAAAAGTTTCAGATTTTGGTTCCAGGCTTATTTTTGGGTGTTACATACTTGCAGTCCATTAGCCAACCCACAGATAAGTGTTGTTAGCTCACACTGTGTTTGTGTTTTCTACTTGGTTTTGAGTCTGCCTTAGATGGATCATACAGTCTTTTAGTTTCCCTGTTGTATTTCATTCCCACCTTACTTAGGCTCCAGAGGCAATTCGGAAAGTTAGGTTGGATATTTGCCCATGAACTTTTTAATGCTTTACTGAAATTGTTTATCATCATCACATATTTCAGCACTCATTTAAAGAAGATAATAAGGGAGTTTTAAAAATTATTTTCAAGGGTAGCAAATCATGATCTAAATGATATGAACAACTCTTTCCAAATTGCTCATTTTAGACACTTACCACATAGTTTTGTGTGTTAACAGGGCTTAAGAAACTTTGAAATCCATTTAAATTATTGAGGGAAATTGGCTGAAGGGGGCGTAGTGTTGAGATCATGCAGGTAGACCACATTTTGTTCAATTAACTTTCTATACATTTTTATAATACATGAAGTTCAGTTTGGGTTTGTGAGTGATTAGAAATCTGTTTGTAGGCTGGGTAAAACTGCGTGGTTCCATTTGCCTGTGGTGTATGCCTTATTTTAACATTTTTCCTACAGAACAATTCCTGGAAGTACTTGTGGCCAGCAGATTTTTTGTTTTTAGAAATGACCTAGAATCAGATCAGTCTTTTAAAGCCATTATGTAAATAAAGCTTACAAATTTAGGATTACAATAGTTTTAGTCTTTCTGTTTATTTTTCCTTTGTTAGAAGAAACCTTTTCATATACTTCTCTGGATTTTTGATGAGTATTCACTTTTTTACTCAAATGTGGTGAGACTGTGTTAAACACTAATAAAAAGGTCATATTATTTTTATTCCTGTTTTGGCAGTCATTTTCTGATTGTTTTTTTATTGTTTGGAATTTGCAATTGATTGAATAGGGCTTTCACTCATTTAAAATTTATGATAATTATAAAAATGCTATTTGCTTTTTCCACCCATTATTGCTGAAAGAGATGGCTGAGATTTACTTACCAGTATTCTTTAATTGGGTCTCCTATCCTAACCCCGGCCAGGTGGAAAGGACATTTTCCACCATTGGATCAAAATGAATGTTCTCTCATTTCCATGGAAGACAATTAGGAAGCATCAGCAGCTTCACAGACTGAGAATTGACACTACTTGACCTATGACTTTACAATCTATTTTAACTCAATTCCAGCTTGAGGAGATATACCTGTAGTTAGATTTCTTGAGTATGTGGCACCAGCAGTCCTAGATGGCTGCTTCAAATGCCACCATTTGGGAGGATGCTCCCAACAAACGCCTAGTGTACTATTTAAACCACTTTAATCAAATAAAAGAGATTCTTTAGAGCAAGCCGGCCATAAAATATGCTTAAATTCCTATTTAGCATCTCAGTGAATTATGACATGATGGCATACATCGTTCCCCTCCCTAGCTGTGAAGCAAAAGCACAGCTTCAGAGCTAGTCTCAGGTTTTAGAAACCTGCTGCACAGAGAGAGGCCAGGATAGTGAAGTCGCCTGTTGGTCTCTGGCCTCTACCCTGAAGTGGAGTCTCTAGCAGTCTCTAGCAGATCGTCTTCCTAGTGTCAAGATCTGAATCCTTCTGTGGCAGGCAATCTACACCGTTGTTGGAGAGTGAGTGACCGTGGTCCTCCAAAATGCACAGACCGGCAGAGCAATGCAAAATTTTCCATGCACAGATAAATCTGTCAGAGTAGAACCAAAGGAATGCTCAAGCTCTGGTCATTCCCAGTTGATTGTCCCATCAATGTCAAGGAGTTCCAGGGTTCAGGTTTTTATAGTCTAGTTATTAGGTTCCCCAGGAGACAGTCAGGTACTTTAGGTGGTTCACGGGATCTAGCATGGGCTGTAGGACTTGAGTATAACTTCAGGTGGAGCCTGCTGAACCCTTCCAGCCCCTTGCTAACAGCCATGGTGGCTCTCAGCTCCCCAAACCTTGAGTGTGTTTAAGCTTGACAAAAACTGAGAATATCTGTTTTCTCTGGCTCTGGACCTTTGCAGGAAAGAGTACAGCGCTTCCTGGGGGCTGAAGGGTTCTGGGATGAGAGAATGCTGGAAGCTGTTAAGGGTCAGGTGCATCCTTACCAGTGGGTCAGAATTGGATTCTCAGCAGCACCCTTGTGCCATAAAACTGACAGCCAGTGCACTGTCTGTCCTACTTCACAGAGGCTGACTACCTCTGTGAAACCTAGATATCAAATCCATTTGGCTTTGCACTCTGCACTTTGTTGAATAAGATTGGTAGTGAGAGATGAGAAGAGTCTTCAGGGTGGTAATAAGAGTCCTTGAACTATTTTCAGTATTTCCAGCAGTCAAATGGAAATTATATATTTACATGATAAAGCCAATGGACAGCTTAAGTGATTTGTTTTCTAGCTCTGGCTGAAATCCTATCTCAGTGTAGATCCAGGCTAGCTCATGCTAACTAGAAGTTCTGATTGGTAGGGTGGTATTTAATAACATTGGGGAAAAAAGTCAACTTTTGTTTGGCTAGATAAGCTAAAGGTTAGGGATTATTTTCTTATGTGTTAATAAAATTGGAGCAGTGGGGATAATTAGCACTTGGTAAATGGCGAGCATTTGTGTGAGAGAAGGCAGGCTTTGGGGTGTTGGGTAAAGACCTTGGGACAAGGCTACCCTCTGGTTGGCAGGAAAGAAAAGTTAAAGGTGGATGTGCAGAAGTTGCTGACAGAGCAGGCCTGACACTGCTGACTTTAGAAAGGTCTGCCTTGGCCTGGTATCTGGGAACTTGATTGGTAAGGTTTTCTACACTGAAATAAAACTTCCTCTAAATGATAAGTGTAGGTTACTATGTTTAAACTGTGCAAATAGTGTTTATATTAGCACTGCTTTTTCTTTTGGGAGTCTGGAATTTTGGAACATGCTAGGTATAGAGGTACTTATGTACCCACCCCCAGTAAAAGCCTTGGGTGCTGATCTTTGTTTCTTTGTTTCTTTGTTAGACCACTCTTTATGCATTCTTAGAACTCAGTTGCGGGAGAAATTAATTGCATCCTTTGTGATTTCATTCAGAGAGGGCTCTTGGAAGCTTGCTTCTGGTTTCCTTCAGACTTTACTGGTTGTAAGAAATGGGGAATGGTGGGCTCAAGTTGATCTCTTAAAGGCATTCAGATTGACATTCAGATTTTAGAAAAGAAGAAGAAAAAATTCTGTACTCAAAACATCTATTTAAGGGGTGACTGGGTGGCTCAGTGGGTTAAGCCTCTGCCTTCAGCTCAGGTCATGATCTCAGGACCCTGGGATCAAGCCCCACATTGGGCTCAGCAGAAAGCCTGCTTCTCCCCATCACCCCCCAACCCCAGCCTGCCTCTCTGCCTACTTGTGATCTCTGTCTGCCAAATAAATAAAATCTTTAAAACAAACAAACAAACAAACAAAAACATCTATTTGGGCTGTTGTACTCCCTGTTGGTTTGAGATTCCTGATCAGTTTTAAGGTCTGGTTTCTATAGCTTTGTAAAGGGCCATTGTTTTACACAGTTCTAGGGGGGGACTGTTCACAAATTGAACAGTCCTGGGCCCTACATTTTACAAAGGTAAATGTAAAATATAGGTAAATTTAAAAGGTAAATTTACATAAGGTAAATTTTTAAGGTAAATAATTTAAAGGTAAACTTACATAAGCATGGGGTTCTTTGCCATCATAGTACTTCTATAATAGTTTTCAGTTGTATGATATTTGTACAGAACATCAAGGAAATTAAGTGTATGCTAAGTTAGAAATTTTGCATTAAGGAGCTGGGAAAGAGTGAACAAAAACATTTCTTCTCTATATACTCATATTATTATGAAATTGCTGACACTTTTTTTTTTTTAAGGATCCTTACTCCTCTGTTATTCCATTAATATTGCTTTGAAATTTAAGGACAAAGTCACATGAACATCAGTGTATGGTACATTACCAGTATTGATAGGTTACTTAATACTTGCTTGTTACTCTGTTTGCTTAGTACTTTATACCTATTACCATCTTTAGTTCCTCACATGAGGTGCAATACTTAGAGTTTTGCCAGTTGAAAAAACTGATCTAGAGAAATGAAGTAACTTTTCCTGCGGTCACATATAGTAAATTGCAGAACCAGGAGTCTGTTCCAAGTACTACTGTTTTCCACACAATAGCATGTTGGCATTCTAGCTCTCAGAGTCCATGAAACAAATATGAATGCTTCCACCATGGCCTGTTTCAAGCAATAGAATATCAACTGGCTTGCAAATTAATAAAAACTCAGTGAGTTCTCACAAGCCAATATAAGGCTCCAGCATACCACTGTTTCACACAGCGTGGTTTTAGCCTGGCTTTTCCAAACCCTGATGCCACTACCTCCTGCACTCAAAAAGCACCAGATGAAAAGATCCTCTCATTTTGCTGGCAAGGATCCATGCCTCTGGCATGAGTTTATTATAGGGACATTGAGGATTTTTTTTTCTCTTTATGGTAAACCTATGAAATAATGATTATTACTGTTTTGGGGGGGGGAAGCTGTAAAACAAAAATATCTCCCTATAAGGGCACTTTTCAGTTATGGCTTCAGTCTCAACTCAGTACACTGGTAATTAGTCCCTTAGGAAGACTTTCAAGGTCAAAACTGGCTCCTCATCTGTAAACTGAGTGAAGTTTCCCCAGAAAGACTATTCCACA